GACCCCCGGCTCAGGGGAGGAAGGAACCTAATGGCCACACATCCTCCCCCTAGACTTCAGGCAGGCCTGAAGACCCACACCCTCCATCCTGTAGAGTGAAAACACACATATAAAAAGTGAAGTGCACAGACACAAGTGAAAAAAATAAATAAGTGCCAATGTGCAAGACAATGTCTAGGGCCTAGGGCCTGGTATAGAAATGTCCCCTCTTCTTAATAATAAGGCCTAGCCCAAAAGGTGAAGTGCAGAAAAAAAACATTTGATGTTGTGACCTCAGTATCTTTCACACAGCGAGGTCCCAAACCCATAGTGTTACTTGAGCACCTCCAGGGCGCCACTCCCGGGGGAAATTGACACCCAGGCTCCCTGTCTAGCCAGCCCATGACCAGACCAGGTACTCCTTGTCAAGTCAGGAGGCACTGGGACCCTCCAGATCCCAGATCAAAGGAAGTACTCCTGACCCCCAGTCTTACATGAGTGAACGCTCAATTCATTTAACCCTGGCCAGGACCTTTTGGGACCACCATCAACTCAGGCAAGGTACTCTGCAGCCAGCCATTCCTACCACAAGGCTGGAACAGTAGCACATTTTCCCCTCCTAAACACTAATGAGAACAGATGGTACACTTGATCAAAGCCAAAAGGCCGAGATTTACTCCAGAATAAACAACGCTGTCAACCAACTACAGGAAGTGTAAAAATAACAGATCTGCAGGCAGGATCAACTGGTGATTTATGTTGCAGGGAGACTCACAAAATATAAATTACCCTGAACCTAACCTTAATTCATGACACCAATGAGCCCTTACAAGATTGCCCCTCCCTTATTGGGCTTTACAACTATCACTGCCAAAAGCTACCTCTCCTGCAACGAGATTTCACAACGCTGAGATTTGTGTGCCAAATACTATTGATCTGACTAAATAATGTGCCTGCTGCAAAACTGAAATAGTTCACTACTAAACTATGGATGTGTAATCATTCTTTTCTCATGACAAGCTTTTCCAGGGTTTCTTTGATCTATGCTGGAGGCAGGTTAGTGTGTATGTATTTTGAGTTTCTGACTGTTGTCATTCATTAATTATAAGGCTAGTAAGGGAGAGAGACTTTTCTTTGTTGCCTAGCAATACTATATGAAGAAAACTGAGAAGATCTGGAATGTAGGATATCACCAGATACCTAAGATTCTGTCGGCAGCTGCTCCTACCCAGTAGTTACAATTTTGTAATGCTGTCACCTTCCTATTGATTTGTCAGTTGTCAAGACATATCACAACAAAGAAAATGTCAGGAACATCAAACTCAAGTATTTTAATGACTCGCTGTGCAGAAATACTAGCAGAGAGCAACGTATAAATACAGCTTATGACAGCACTTACAGCCAATTAAAAAAACAAAAAAAAACTGCACATACTATAAAGATGTATTTATATGTATATACAGACATTTTCACGTACTGATTAGAAAATTGGCGTCCTCTTCCTCTTTTGCCTTTACGCCACGACCTTTGTCCTGGTAAATAAAGAACGAAGTAAGCTAAAGAAAATGCATTCTGATATGATGCTGCTAAAGACCAACTGCTACTGACTTGCAGCATTTCACATTGTGGGTAAATGAATGGGCTGGTAATGTATATCAACTGAACAAAATCTGGACCTGTAGCATTTATTAACACAACATGTTTTTATCTTGCATATATGTTTTACTTCAAAAAAGCATGATTGGCTTGAGACTTTATTATTATGCTAATTATTGATTCCTTGTCTGGTGGCTGACCAGGTTACAAATTTAACTGCAGTGTATCAGGATGCTCAAATGCTGTCATACTGTTAAAGGCTTATTTGGCTAAGATCCTAATTAAAGTGTAATATATAACAACTTATGAACTAAAAATAAAATTGACCCCCATCCATTATAATTCTGCTTTGAAGTGAACCTAACCCCCAACTTTTCTAAAGTGCATGCACTTACTTGTCTTAGTCCTCACATCGATCCCTGTGCCTCCGCGGAGTACCTTTTATAGTAGACCCAGGCTGTACACAGAACCATGACTTCTCTCCAAGCCTAGATTAAGCACAGGCTCCTCCCTGTGATAAGCCTACAGCCCATGAGTGATATGTCAAATGCAGGAGCCTCCACTTCCCCCTGAAGCAATGGCTCTTGACAATTAAATGACAAGGGGCGGGGCTAAACCTTTAATAGATTAAAGCAGTATTAAACCCTCAGTAATTTTGCTCTGTACATTAAGCTCTACCCAACTAGTAGCTAATACAGTGTTATTTGTTAATTTTCCCCAAATTCTTACAGTATTCATCCCCTTGGCATTTTTCCTATTTTGTTGCATTACCACCTGGAATTAAAATGGATTGTTGGGGGGTTTGTATCATTTGATTTACACAACATGCCTATCACTTTAAAGATGCTAAATGTTTTTATTGTGATACAAACAAGAAATAAGACAAAAAAACAGAAACCTTGAGTGTGCATAACTATTCACTCTACCCCCCGCAGTTACAGCTGTAAGTCTCTTGGGGCTACATCTCTATAAACCTGGCTCATCTAGCCACTGGGATTTTTGCCCATTCTTCAAGGCAAAATGGCTCCAGCTCCTTCGACTTGGATGGGTTTCATTGGAGTACAGCAAACTTTAAGTCATGCCACAGATTCTCAATTGGATTGAGGTCTGGGCTTTGACTAGGCATTTACATGTTTCCTCTTAAACCACTCGAGTTTTGCTTTAGCAGTATGCTTAGGGTCATTGTCCTGCTGGATTGTGAACCTCTGTCCCAGCCTCAAATCTCTGGCAGGCAGAAACAGGTTACCCTCGAGTATTTAGCGCTATCCATCATTCCTTCAATTCTGACCAGTTTCCCATCCCTGCCGATGAAAAACATCCCCACCGCATAATACTGCCACTACCATGCTTCACTGTAGGGACGGTGTTCTCAGGGTAATGAGAGGTCTTGGGTTTGCGCCAGACATAGCATTTTTCTTGAAGGCCAAAAAGGACAATTTTAGTCTCATCTGACCAGAGTACCTTCTTCCATATGTTTGGGGAGTCTCCCACATGCCTTTTGGAAAATAGCAAATGTTTTTGCTTATTTTTTTGGTGTGGTGGTGGCATATTCTTTTAATTTTTTTAAATAATGGATTTAATGGTGCTCCAAGGGATGTTCAAATAAGTTTTGGATATTTTTTTTATAACCCAAGCTTGATCTGTACTTCTCCATAACTTTGTCCCTGACCTGTTTGGAGAGCTCCTTGGTCTTCATGGTGCCGCTTGATTGGTGGTGACCCTTGCTCAGCGGTGTTGCAGACTCTTTCAGAGCAGGGCCTTTCAGAACAGGTGTGTATATATATATATACTGAGATAATGTGACACTTCGATAGCACACAGGTGGTCTTTATTTAACTAAATATGTGACTCCTGAAGGTAATATAGGGGCCTCATAGCAAAGGGGGTGAATACATATGCACGCACCACTTCCGTTTTTCATAATTTTATTAAAACAAGTTATTTTCTTGATTTCCCTTCACCTTTTTGGACTATTTTGTGTATGTCCATTACATGTAATCCAAATAAAAATCAATTTTTAATTCCAGGTGGTAATGCAACAAAATAGAAAAAATGCCAGGGGGTGAATACTTTTGCAAGCCACTGTACTTTTTAGTTGCTTTGATTTTCTCTTTCCTATGTCCTTCCATTTAGCACTTTCCTCAATTTCCAGTCGGAGAGTGCATCCTGAGCACAGCAGAAATCTAAATCATCGAGACTATATGTACCTTACTGATAACAAAATGTCAGCCAAATAAAAAAAAACAAAAGCTGTTATTATACGTCTATATTAATCCCTGTTCATATCTAGGTGTTTTGCTGCTGTTACAACTAAGATACAAAACGCCCAACACAAGAAACCCCATGATTTTCAATGGCTTTTCTTCACACCTGACCGTTCAAGTGCCAGCAGCAAAACGTTAAATGGAGAAAAAAGCTTATTTTTGGCAGTTTGCAGCTCGTTTTTCCCAAAGACTTCAATGCAAACGCTTTGCACATTTCTGTCAATGTTTTTGTGCGTGTTTGTCTTCTCTGCTTGCTAAAACGCACGTCTTCATGTGCGCGCATCTAACATGCACAAAAACGCGCTAAACCCACTAGACGAAAACACACGCGAATATACACAAAAAAGATGACACCTAGGTGTGAACGGGGCCTTAATCTACACAGACAGCAGAATACCCTTCTTGTTATTAGGTATGTTCTGTATTCTATAGGTGTGTGCATACGATAGGATATATGCCTTCCAGGTATGCTCTTTTTATCTGACAATAAAGTAGACACATGGAAGACAGTCAACCCTCATTGTGTCTACTATAAAAAAAAACTATAAAAGTGTCCAAGGACCTGTAGCACTCCTTACCGGAACTCCCATACGTATTGATGGGTGCTCGTAGTGACTGCGGATGGCGCTGCATCAAGCATCATCTAGTATAAAAATTTCACAGGCACAACAGCATGACAGAGACTTGAATGTCAGTGCAACTCCATTTTATTGTCAGAAGTCACTCAGAGTGTCATCAAGCTCTTTCGGGGCCGCGCAGGGTCCCCTTCATCAGGCTAAAAGTGAACCAGGCATACTATAAAAAACGAACGCTAGAAATTAGGCCGCTGCAACCTGTCTTCCTAGCAATAAGTACCTCTCAACAGCCGGAACATCAACTGGTGTATTGATGCTGCTTCTGTAAGAGATTCCAGCCTGTCTTATTGCTGCAGACCAGTGGGCAGATCTGCTTCAAAATTGCTATTATTTTCTATGGGATAGAACCACTCATTCACTGCTGATACCCAGCCAAGAACCTTTCATACATGCTGGCTGCAAACATTGGGTGCAAGCTACAAATTAAACAGCAGAATCGATTCTGTGCCTTAGACTAATCAGCTCTTCAAATTCCTATGGTGGCCAGTGTGCCCAATAAACCACGTTCAAGTTCATAATCTATTACCTGTGTTATGTTCGCCGTATTCATAATCCCCTTGGTAAGGACCTTCTGTGTCTTCAAAGGGTGCATGCTGTCCTATGTAAAAAGAATTTAACAAATCATTTGTCTTGGGAATACTTAGATTTACATTAAAAGGTGCATTGTTTCCAACAAATTATAAAGTCATTGGGCAGTTTTATAGATACCATTTGTCCTAGATTTGCCAGGACAGTCCCCCATCTTAGAGCCCAGTCTAGGTGATGCTCTCTCCCGGTCAATATCCCCGAATCACAGTGTCATCCTTATCTGAGTTGCCGTGAATATGCAGTAACTCAAACAGGCATTCATTATGGTGATATTTGAAGGCAAGGTTTGGGTGGGCCACCCCGGCAAATGGGCGGGGACTGGCTGGGATTATCCGGTCACTTGGCGGGCAGCCTGAGGCAGACTGTGGGCAGGGTTAACTGTGTTGCAGGGATGAGCGCTGAAATGTTGGTAAGTATGCAGTGTTTATTTCTGAGAAGGTATTTCACTGTTTGTGGCCTGGAAAAATGTTTCCCTTATTATTAGTATTTGTATAGCACTGACAATTTTACACATAGTTGCACATTCACATCAGTCCCTGCCCTCAAGGAGCTTGCAACCTCCTATGCATGTGAGATAGGTCCCTATCTCACATGCATACATATGAGGGCCAATTTAGACAGGAGCCAACTAACCTAACAGCATGCCTTTGGAGTGTGGGAGGAAACCGGAGTACCCCTACACAAGCACAGGGAGAACCTGCAAACTCCTTGCTGATAGTCACGTGGCCAGGATTCGAACCAGGGCCAGGAACTGCCAGTGCTGCCAGGCAGAAGCGCTAACCACTATGCCACTGTGCTACTCCATTAACTTTTTTAAGTGGACCTGGCATACTGATGATACTGATCTTCTCTACCAAATCCTCCTGGCAAAAGGTTACAGTATAAGCTATTAAAAACATTTATTTATATATGGCCAATATACAGTACACCCATACCATTGCTGTTCATTGAGTAGATACAACAGAGCAGGAGCACATTAACTTTGTGCTTCATTTGATTAGTTTGATTATGACACAAGTAACTCTTCATTTTAGTTGAAAACAGTCAAAATGATGCTGGGACAATATGGTTTCCTGAATGATTGAAGTGGTTTATATGGGTAGATCGATCACACAGGGTAATGTATGTTAGCAATGTCTTTTAAAATTGATGTAGACTGGGTGTTTTGAACCGCATTGTGGTTTTATTATTGTCTTAAATAAAGCTTTTGACCCTTTTGTCCTTTCACTATATTAACACAGCATCTCTTTGACTATGCAGGTCAGCTAAATAGTGGGCATATTGGCCCAGTCTTCTCATGTCACTTATTGTGGTAATGATCTGTACTGTATATCACAATATGTTTACACGCATACCACTGTATTTCTTTTGCTGCCTATGAACATTCCACTGTTGGTTTCTTTCACCATGATAGTCATACTGAACATTGTGTTCAGATTGCTGATGTCCACTAAAGGAACTGCGGGAACGCCCAGAACTGGACCTTACTGTAGAGGAAAAACACAAAACAAAAAAGCATTTTAAATCTACATTTTTAGATTGATTCACATCGGTTCATCATACTGGTATTCCATTTGTGATTGACTTACACCAATATGCGATTGTATCTGTAATCAATATTTGATTAAACCTCCCCAATAGTTTTTCATACTGGTTTTTGAGTGAACCGCACCATCCAGTTCATCCTTCTGGTTTTCTATTCTTTACATACTCCTATCAACAGTTCATCATACTGGTACTCCCTTTTTGATTGACCCATACCGATAGTTCATCATACTGGTTCTCCATTCTTTATTTATCCACAGTAATCGTTTATTATACAGATACTCTATTTTTCATTAATCCACAGTAATAGTTCATCATACTCATACTCCATTTTTATTGAACCACAGCAATAGTTCACCATATTTATACTCTGTTTTGATTGACCCACATTAATAGTTCATCATACCGGTGTTCCACTGTTCGATTGTCCCCCATTAACAGTTCACTATTTTTAAACTTGTGGTACTATATTATATTACATTATTATTATTTAAATCGGTACAAAACCCAAAGTGAGCTAGTGCTGCAAGTAGTGATCATGGAGTTATATGATTGGTGAATGCACCCTTTTTGTCTGGAATAATTACACAATTCTAGTAGGCCTTGTCCTAGTTAGAGTAAGGCTTTGGAGTACAGCAAAGATCTTAGTCTCTTTGATAAATACAAATAAAACTGGTTGGCATAGGTTATAACTATTGCATAATTTTTAATACATCTAATTGAACTTCAAAACGACTGTAAGTTTAAAACAAGAATTCTGAAATATAATTTTGTGACATTTTTGTGGACAAGAGATTTACTTAAAAGAGAACTATGGGGTAAGTGTTTTTCCCCATAGTTCTCTTTAGGGTCACGGGATGACATACACTAGCATCCTCCCATGACCCAAAGCTCAGTATATAGCGAGCTAGAGCTCGCGGTATACCGAGACCGCCGCAGCCGGGACAGATCCCGACATTACTGTGGAGATCCACCCAGCTGCGTGAGTGACAGCTGGCTCTGCCTATTTAGAGGCAGAGTCAGCTGTACCCGCACCCTCTCCCGTCCGTTCCTCCAGTCAGCGCTGGAGGATCGGAGCGGGGAGGGGGGAATCCCTGCAGGGAGCCGTGAATGACAGTCACTGCTCTCTGCAGGGACATGATCGAGAAGTAAGCGAGCGACGGTATGTGTTCGCTCACTTCCCGATCTAATGAGCCGACCTGTGACAGTCTCATTGTCACACGTCGGCTCGAACTATGAGGATGAGTGATTTTCACACACCTCATAGTTCTCCATTAAACCAAAATACCTCTTTCATGGACTACTATGAACCAATAATTGACATCCTGTAATTCAAATTGTAAACACTTAAATATAAGTACAAAAGGTTAAAACACCATGGTTTGTTTAAAACATAACATACTGCTAAAATGCCTTGAAGTTGGAGACCTTTAGATATACATTTCAACCATAATATACAGGTGGAACTCGAATAATTAGAATATCGTGCAAAGTTCATTTATTTCACTAATGCAACTTAAAAGGTGAAACTAATATACGAGATAGACTCATTACATGCAAAGCAAGATAATTCAAGCCGTGATTTGTCATAATTGTGATGATTATGGCTTACAGCTCATGAAAACCCCAAGAACCCCAAATCCACAACCTCAAAAAAGTAGATTATTACATGCAATCAATAAAACAAGGATTGTACATAGAACAATATCGGACCTCTGAAAAGTACAAGCATGCATATGTACTCAGTACTTGGTTTGGGCCCCTTTTGCAGCACTTACTGCAATTACTTTTGCACGATATTCTAATTATTCGAGTTTCACCTGTACATAATATACATTCATGACAACCCATAATAACGTTAAATATATAGGAACATCTCATGAATACCAAAAAGATGTATACAGTACCTTGATTATACAAATATAGGTTACACATTTTCTGGTAGCGACAGAGCAATAATCTCATTACATACACACCTTACAGAGAAAACGTGAATCATAGTGCCAATCATAAAATCCCAAGAAGGCTGTAAAGGTTAATATTGTTTATGGGGAGTATAGCAATGTCTTCTTTTTGAAGTGGTAGAAAGTTCACCTTCATGTCTCCTTATTAAAGTGGAAGAATAGTCGCCATTTTAATAGAACTTTCCAGGATCCGTCCCAAGAGCAAGGACCACTATAGTGAAAGCTATTGTATTCTGGTAACTGTATTTGGGTAATGCCAGTAGTGAGAGTTCAGAAAATGTTTTCATCTTTTTTTTCCCCTTTCACAGGCCTTTATATTTTAGCCATCTTTACATTCAGGTCAAGATGTCCAGCAAAAGTGACAGTTACAGGAATTGGGACAGACAATGGTCAGCTTTAATTTATAGGGTTTAAACCCTATTTTGTAAAGAAAAACAAATACTGCTGCTGTAAATGTTTCCCCAGCACGGGAAGGGTTAAGTGCTTGTTTTGGTCTAGGGGCAGAGATAAACAAGATATACTCACCTGATCATCGGTCCTGTGGCTTTGACCGCTCACCTCTCTCCCCCTCCACCCTGGCTGTGGTATTGCCTTTGGCATCCTCACATCTAATAGACCTGCATTAGAAGAGAAGACATCACAGGTCCTTAGACCGCTGGAGCCCGGGGGAGAAGAGGCTGTGCGGACCGGTCTATCAGCCAGGCAGGACAGAGGATCCAGAGACTGTATTTCTTTACTTTCATTCCTAGACCAAAACAAGCACTTAAAGGAGAACTATGAGGTGAGTGATTTCCACTCATCCTCATAGTTACAGCCGACCTGTGACAAAGAAGCTGTCACAGGTCGGCTGTACTGATCGGGAAGTGAACGAATGCATACCGTCGCTAGCTCACTTTCCAATGACCTCCCTGCAGAGAGCGGTGACTGTCAGCCACTGATCCCCGTAGGGATTCCCCCCCCTCCCCTCTCTGATCCTGCAGCGCTGACTGGAGGAACGGACGGGGAGGAGGCGGGCACAGCTGGCTCTGCCTCTAGATAGGCAGAGCCAATTGTCACTCATGCAGCTGGGTGGATCCAGACAGTATTGTCAGAATCTGTCCCGGCTGCGGCGCTCTAAGTTGCCTGCTATATACTGAGATTTGGGAGGAGGTTAGTACAGGTGAAACTCGAATAATTAGAATATCGTGCAAAAGTAATTGCAGTAAGTGCTGCAAAAGGGGCCCAAACCAAGTACTGAGTACATATGCATGCTTGTACTTTTCAGAGGTCCGATATTGTTCTATGTACAATCTTTGTTTTATTGATTGCATGTAATAATCTACTTTTTTGAGGTTGTGGATTTGGGGTTCTTGGGGTTTTCATGAGCTGTAAGCAATAATCATCACAATTATGACAAATCACGGCTTGAATTATCTTGCTTTGCATGTAACGAGTCTATCTCATATATTAGTTTCACCTTTTAAGTTGCATTAGTGAAATAAATGAACTTTGCACGATATTCTAAATATTCGAGTTTCACCTGTATATGTCCTCCCGTGAACCTTAAGAGAACTATGGGGAAAAACACTTACCTCATAGCTATCTTTTAACTCTTGCAGTTTGGAGGTAGCCCTACTGCAAGGGGTAATAAAAAAAAAAAAAAAGAATCCTGGAATTGTTCTTCTTTCCTGGTATTTCCTGGGCTAGTGGGCTTTAATTTGTTGGTTGCTGGATACAAAGTTTTTTGCTTTTACACATCACTAGATTGAATGATAATGCTGAAAACAAAAGCAATGTTTTATCATGTGCCCACGCCTCAGAATATTCGGGTTGTCTCCTGAAAGTATCTATATTTTTTATTAGAATTGCAGTGAATGCTACGAGGATTAAGGTACAACAATGCTAATGTCATCTGGAAGCAAAGAGCAAGCAAGTATATGTATCAGAGTATGTGCTTAAACCAAAACTGTGTCAACAAGAAAAGAAAAATTAATAGAACGCTTGTCATAGAACACAAGAATGGAAGTGATCTGGATGTGCTTATAAATCACACAGGGATTCTATGAATAAAACTGAAATCTTCACTCATCACCAACATGGCCACGGTATTGATGTAAGTGATATGTACCTTTATAAACGTAACTAATGGCTCAGCAGCATTCTATGCGTGTCACTTCAACAAAAAGCATTAGAAAAACAAATAATACCTGGTGTTTCTATGCAGTAGTAAGGCCGAAAAGATTTCGAAATCTTGGCTTGACGCTGCCCACACAACAAACAGCTGAATGTCTTGGCATTTCCAGTCACCCCTTTCTGGTTGATAGATAAATGCTATGGCAGCCCTTGTCTATGCTTCTGTCACGTCTACAAAGGACCAAGTCACGCGGGCACATAAGTTGCTGGTGACTCTTCAACAGCAATAGACTCACAGATTCGGCTTACTTTGTCCTATGAAGTTGTTGCATTTCTGCATGAACTAGTTTTGTTCCTGTGATTCACTTTCAGCAAGTTTTACAGATAGCAACAGAGTGATAACTAAGCTGAATTGTGTGATTCTATAGCTGGCAAAGTGTCACTGATGACAAAATCATCTTACAGACATGGCTCTAACTAGGTGAAAGCAGAGGGGGCAGCTGTTCCTGAGCTAGTAAGGTGTTGGGCACCTAGCCTGTGCCTATGGTGTTCTCACATTATATTCTTTCCAAACAAATGATACCCTTTACACCAGTGGTTCTCAACCTGTATAACCTCAGGACCCACATTTGTCCTTGGTCATTAAGTCGCGACCCAAGTCGCACCACAATGGAATGCCCGGCAATGCAGTACCGCATGTTTTGGTGCAATCAAACTATGGGTAGGAGGTGTGTTTAGGGTGCTATTTAAATGAATTGCAACGCAGCACACCACCAGCAATTCCCCCACCAGAATGAACAGTAGGTGCAATTGCGTGGTAGTTGTAGCCATAAGGGCACACAAGGGAGCTGTAAGCAATCCATGTATGGATGGAGCTCCCTCACGGCCATTGCCCCAGCCCACCCCACCACAAGCTGACACTCAGCACAGGGCAGCATATTTTAAATGGCTGCTCGGCAGGAGAACTGACAGTGCTGCACTAGGGGGAGGCTGAGGAGCCTCTCTCCTAGTGCAGTGGAATGCATGCAGCGACCCACTGAACATGGGGTCGCGACCCATCTTTGGATCACGACCCACCAGTTGAGAACCACTGCTTTACACAATCTCGTTGTTGTGTTATTTGCTGCTTGAGCCCTGTAATCAGATCACCAACGAGCTGCATCTTAAAGGAGAATTATGAGGCGAGTGATTTTCCCTCAGCCTCATAATCTGAGCCGACCTGTGACAATGAAACTGTTACAGGTCGGCTTAGTAGATCGGGAAGTGAGCGAACATATACCGTCGCTCGCTCACTTCACGATCTATCCCGGCAGAGAGCCGTGATTGTCACTCACGGCTCCCTGCAGGGATTCCCCCCTCCCCTGTCCGATCCTCCAGCGCTGACTGGCGAAACGGACGGGGGAGGGGCGGGCACAGCTGCCTCTGCCTCTGGATAGGCAGAGCCAGCTGTCAATCCCGCAGCTGGGTGGATCCAGACAGTATTGTCGGGATACGTCCCGGCTGTGGCTTCTCAGTATATCGCGAGGTGTAGCTCGCGGTATACTGAGCTTTGGGTCACGGGAGAACGCTAGCTTGTGTTCTCCCATGACCCTACATTATACACTGTATGTATAATGTATTGCTGGGATTTGTTGTACTCCGCTATAGCTGATGGTATTCCGCTGTATAATGTATTATTGCTGGGATTTGTAGTCCGCTATAGCTAGTGGTATTCTGCATTGTGCTGTATAAAGTATTACTGATGGGTTTTGTAGTCCTCTATAGCTGGTGGTATTCGGCATTGCGCTGTATAATGTATTATTGCTGGGATTTGTAGTCCTCTATACAGTGCAATGCAGAATACCACCAGCTATAGAGGACTACAAAACCCATCAGTAATACTTTATACAGCACAATGCAGAATACCACTAGCTATAGAGGACTACAAATCCCAGCAATAATACATTATACAGCGGAATACCATCAGCTATAGCGGAGTACAACAAATCCCAACAATAATACATTGTACAGCGCAATGCAGAATACCACCAGCTATAGAGGACTACAAAACCCAGCAATAGTACATTATACAGCGCAATGCAGAATACTGCCAGCTATAATGTACTATTGCTGGGATTTGTTGGATTCCTCTATAGCTGGCGGTATTCTGCATTGTGCTGTAAAATGTACTATTGCTGGGATTTGTAGTCCTCTATAGCCGATGCCATTCTGAATTAATTGCTGTATAATTTTACACTTTCCATTTAACTATATTGCACACCACACTTTTCTTTTTTACTTCCACCGCTCCAAGCTTGCTCCTGTGATGGACTACAATCTCAATACAAACTAGTAGTTCATCACTGGAGCCATTTAAAAAAAATGTATTTTATTTTTCATCCGATTAACCGAACGTAATAATCGGCTAACTAATTGATTTTGAAAATAATCGTTAGCTGCAGCTCTATTTCTGGCACATAAATTCGTAATGGTCTGCATAACCAGAAGCATGGAAGAGTTGTGTCTATTGCCTGAATACATTGTGCTGCAAGGTGTCCCTGTTTCTTATTCCAGAAAGTTGGGAGGTATGTATAACATAATTTCAGCTTCAGTAAAGCAGGTGAAAATAAAGCATTTGTGTGTAATTGAAGAATAAGGAGGTCCCAGTAACTGGCAATATGGTTTCCTCTTCTCCTGGAGAGCAGTTTGGCCATGTTACTGCATGCGCCTGTTAATTTTTTAACCACATGGGTATTAAATACATTCATATGTATTGTCATGTAGCAGGAGGGGGACTCCATAGGGTGCATTGGGGTAAAGAGAGCTGTACGTTATGACAGTCTGTGCATATCTGATCTGGCCATTTTTGTCCAATCCGTGGGGCACTCCCAAACACTGTCAGCCAAAGCTCATCAGGAGGAACAGTGATAGAACAGGTTAAAAAGCCTTGTCCGATTCCTAATGCAATCCTGCAATAAGTGCCTGGAGGTGTCTGCAGCGCACATGCTCCACAGACCTAAACACAAATAGGGGCATTGGGTTTAGGGATTGAGATAGATTGGGGAATATAGCCTAATGGTGTGCGCTAAGAGACCGCTCCTGAAGCTGACTTTAACATAAAAAGGACAGTCTTTATTCATTCAAAAGGTCAACAATCCATGAACTTCACAAAATAACTCACCTTTCTTCAGCATAATGAAACATAACACTTCATTGGACTTTCATCAAAAGATCGTGTTTTGGTCTCACAGATATCTGGCTGTCCCATACACTCCCAGTGTGCTAGTCCCTCAGTATTGTCCTCATTATTGCTCAGCAGCTTTCTTTAGCTCCAAGTGGTTCAGTATTCCCCTCTCATGGGTCACTGTCTCTCTAACAGGTATCTCAGGGTCCCCAACCCTCTTGACCTCTCCAGCCCTCCTGGCTGTGTCACTTGTCCTCGCGCACGCAGCAGAGTCTGCCTGTGGCCATGTGTCCCCTGCACACCCACAACTCTCCTCTGAGCTGGCTTCCTAATGAGGCTGCTCTCAGCCACCTGATCAGCCCAGGCTGGCCATTGGCAACATCTGGCCCCAGGACTGGAGATTTCATCACACCCAGAGCTCTAAGAAATCTCCAGAACTCCAGATCCCAGCTACAATTAGGAAAACCTGGAAGAACCTGAAAAGCCAGGTTCTTCTTTATAAAATGGTTCACATTCTGGACCCTCTCAGCCCCTCTGGCTGAGAGTCTTGGGTCCCAAAGCTGCCATACTACACCGTGGCATTGCCATGCACTGGCTAGGCACATATGTCTGTCTGATTCTACCTACACATCTGACCTCCTCTAATATCTATGGCCAGCTTTAACCCACACCCATTAGAATCTGATTATACAATAAGTTGCTAAGAACTTTGCAGGGTGGAGGCCGACCTTAAAATCTATAAATCGGATGCATTGCTTAGTTAACCTTTTGCAGTACATAGCCATTGGCAAAACTGTAATAGCTGTGTTCAGCTTTACAATAGATACTGTGAAGGAACTGTGAGTTTAATACAATGTTTTATATTAGAATAGACTTTGTACATGCATCAGGTCATTGTATGCACCTTGATGTTTGCAATCCGTTCTCTGTTCTCATTTAAATAAAAAAAAAAATCAATTTACTGTAAAAGAAAACAGTTGTGCGATGTAAATACAGTGCATCTGTTTTTCTGTTTTCTAGTTAATACGTGCCAAAATTACAGTGCTGCAGTAAAGGCCCATCTTGTTGTCCCTTCAACAGCCAAAACAACAATACAGAAACTGTTGTTATGGAATGCAACAGAAGTATTCTAGAATGTGTACACAAACAGTTTAATAACCTATCTTGCTACGTTTGGCTGCCAATGCTTTATATTCAAAAGGTGAAAGTCTGTTTATCAATTGGTGTAATAACAACAATAAGAAGTAAAAACATCAACATTGCCCACAGCCACAGGCAGCATACAGAAGAATTTTACATTTGTCTTTTTTGCTCGGCGTGCTGGTGTGTGTGTAGCTCACTTCTTAGGCTGGCCATATACTTGGTGTTTTGTCTTGTTCAGCCCCGAGGGCTGCAACAGAACGAACGCTGGATTCCCTCACCCATCCTAAGTAGTATAGATGGAGAAATCTCCTCAGCCGTGCTATTGTATTCTGGCAGTCAGAATACCCCAACAGTGACTACAGCTTAGTGGCTGCAGTCATCTTTCCAGTGGCAGAACAATCGCCATAGCGACCCAGATGGCCGCTATGGTGTCTGGGGCACAGGGGGGCTCGGCCAGGACATCCCCCTGATGCCGTGCGGGCCGCCTGGGTCGCTATGGCATCTCAAGCTACTGGCTGCCACTGGCGGCTGTGAGGAGGAACATGCCGCTGTTCAGATCACTGAGAACCTGTCAGTGATCTGTGCAGCGGCGTGTACCTCCTCACAGCCGCTGCTGAGTCAGTGACAGCCAGCAGCTGCGAAGGAGGAGGCTGGGCCCAGCATCGGCAGCTGTGGAGGAGGAGGCTGGGCCCTGTGATGGAGGAGAGGGCGGGGCCTGCCAGCAACCGTGGAGGAGGAGGCGGACAGCGAATTGGGTCTGATAGGTAAGAGGGGTGTGACCAGCCCACCTGAGACCCTGCAGAGCCCACAATAGAGAGTATATGGTAGGCTCTGCAGGGTCACTCTCAGGTGGGCTGTTTGGGATAACAGGTGGTCTCTGCAAGGGGCAAAATTTTGCTATGGGGCCCTGTGATTTCTAGTTACGCCCCTGCACTGTTCAGTCGAGAATTTTTGTCCCATCTCCTTCAAAAAAAGGTGACTGAAAAGTCGACTTCCGTTGAACAGAGTCGGTGTTGTCAAGCCCACACACAGCAGTAGGACTCGGGCAGTGCACGGGCAGCTTTATCCTATCGGGCTGTGTAATAATGGTTTCACTCACCTGACAAAGGCCAATTTTCTCCTTTAGGGTTTGGCTTCAAGGTCCTGCCCTGTGCTGCACAGGCATCAGTAATCAGAGTCCTCAGCTTATTAAACTGTGATATTAATGCATCCTGCCGGTAAAATAATTTCACAATGTAAAACTGAGCTTACAATGACTGCTTACTAAAATCTAATAACATGATATATACACATTCATTACACAAATATACACAAACATATGCCAAACATCCTGTAAGACATGTCCTTATATAATGTAAATACTGGTGTCAATGCTGATATCCTCAGAGCAGTGATCATGTATCTGTAAATATAAAACATATGCAGAAAGTAAGTCTGTGATGGAATTTATAACTTAGTGGTTGTAAAAACATGGATCTAAGGCTAATACCCATTGATGAATGAACTTGTGTGTCATACAAAACAACACGTTCTTCTTTAAAGTAAATCTGTCACAAAGCTGGACAACTCAAAGTCAGCATATGATAACGAAATTGCATAAGCGAGTGTTACCTTTGCTGAAATTTGGAAGTCAAAACAATCTAGAGATTCAGAAATCTTTAGCTGAAGTTTCATACAAATATCAAACATTTCTGTCAAATTTAAGCTTGGCCTTGTTCCTTCTACTTCCCAAGCAGATTTATTCACCTGATCCTCGGTCTGCTAGGCCGATCCACACAGCCTCTTCTCTTCTGGGCTCCGGCGGTTTAAGGACCACTGACATCACGTCTTATGCAGGTTCATTGACTTGCATTAGACGTGAGGATGCTGAGAGACATTTCATAGCTGGAGCGGAGGAAGAGAAAGGTGAGTGCCGACTGCAGGGGGACCGAGCATGTTACTTGCACTACAGCACAACTGACTGGCCGCTGTTGTGCTGCTTCTCCATCACCCAGTCTATGTTCTGTTGTACTGTACAGAAGACTGCAAGAGGTTGATACCAGGTCAATTGTAGGTACTTGCATTTAAAATAAGTAAATGTAATGTTGTATTACTGAAACCAGAGCTACATTCATACGATTAATCGGTCTGGAGTTCATCTTTAACCTCTTCCCGCTAGCATAACGGGAAGCACAGCAGGTGGACCTCAACATCCAGCTGCTGCATACATGCGTCTATGGGCTCTGCTGTTGTGTGCTCAGAGAGCATTCACAGCGCAACAACAGAGCTGTCGAAGACAGCATCCGGTCATTGTCAATAATTGGGAGCCAGTGGGATGGGCTCCCGATCATATGTTCGCTATGACAGCCAATCACAGTGGTCACATAATCAGGACTCCACCTTCTGATGTTAAGATCCAGTTAAAGGACCTTTGGGAAAGGGCAAGATGTTAGTTTTGTTGGGATCTACATTATTTGTAAACAAATTCAAGTCTCACTAACATCTGAGCACCTCTCCCTTCCAGAATAAAATGATAAGTGATATTCTAAATCTTCAAATGAAAATAAACACAGCTGCGCACAGCTCCTGGTTATACTATATATTATAACTTCTCATTTTCAATAAATGTTTCTGTTCACAGATTTAGATGTAACAAATACATTTCTCTTTTGAAGGAAGGCTGAAGATATTTTTGTTAAAATTCAGCAGTGACTCTACATGTTCCAGACTTGAATTGCATGAATGGTCCTCCGTGGCTGGGAGCTGCGGGTGCCCCGTCTATTCTCTGACATGTCTATCAGTAACTGACAGACAGAAGCTCCATGAAGGGTTGCACAATGATAAGCTATGAAGTACATATGAGACTCTGTACTGGGCCACTCCGGAAAGGTGGACAGGCTTTGTGATGATAAACCATTAATCACATTGCCATGCGGAGATGTATTTGCACAGGTGCTTTTGGAATGCGGAATCATGGCAAGAAAGACAAATACTCTTTTCTGCATGCTGAAAATATGTTTTGTATTGTTCGTGATTTCAGAAATGAGAAGCCGAACATAATGACGGATTTGAAAACAGGTAAACAGAATGTCTAAGTCGACAACGGGCAATGTCAAGGAAAAGCTTAACATGCTTTGGTTGTATTTGAACCTTCTATTTTTCACTTAACCTCCAACACAGAAAAATTCAGCATACGTAGTCACATGAAAAAGGGGTAAAGGTGGCCACATGGCCAAGGACAGATATTGCTGCATTATACCACCGATAACCCTTTAATGTATGGTGTACATGTGATTTAATCTGGTTATCTGCAGCAACTATTACTATTCAGTACTATTCATCTGCCAGATTCATTTTCCCGATTGAAATATTTTTTATCATTTCTTTAAATCCAATATTCCTCTTGATAAATTCAAAATGAATAGTACTCGATCCCCACCTTCAACCTTACCCCAGAGAGTGAAAAAAGAAGATTAGGATTCCAATGTGCACGGCTTGATTATATCTTCTATGTGTTAGCACAAAATAAACTTTTGTAGCACTGAATTTAAAAATGGTAACTCTGACCTTCCTCCTCTAGGAAAAATGAGCTATCTAGACTTATTGTACTCCCCTACATTAGACTAGACATATTCCTTCCCAAACCCCCATAGTTAACCTTCCTTTTACTAACCTTCTCTTTAAAAAACTTAAATGGAAACAGCCATGTCTTATGTGAGTATATCTTGCGTTATTTTTTTAATGTTTACCTTTTATATTTTGATATTTATGAATTTGGATTTGAGCACAGACATCTCTCTTGTATAGTGCAGGTCAGTGACCAGACTTGAGTCTGTATCTTTCCTCCAACTCTGTCTGCCCCATATTAAAGAACAATAAAGGGGTGCCCCTGCTGCTAGTAGAGTCCAAGATGGCATCTTATTTATAAATATCAATAGAATGAAATAGCCAACGCGTTTCAGGGGTCCACAATATCCCCTTTCATCAGGGCTTATGGGTTTGTACCTTAGTTCCTTTGGAATGTTTTGGACTCAGAGAAGGATTGTCACGGTACTAGGGGTGTGAGCCTACAGGTGACACAGGATCCCTCAGTGCATGGAATCTAAGGGCCAGCCGGTGTTCTGCCAGGGACGTCCTCACCAGAGTTTGGACTTAGCTGCGTGCTGACCCCAGGTCATGACCCCCAGGTTCACCCTGCTCGTATGGAGAGTACCCGTAGACACAGTGCAGGCACGGATGGATGGAGCAAAAGGAGATCCAGACTTCTCTTGGATTCATGTTCCTTCTGCTAAACTTCAAGTCATTCACTACAACTGTCTATTATTGTTATGTCCAGGACATTCAAAATTAACTAAGAAACAAAAGTAACTCATAAGCATTGAAGAAGGGGGATAGTGTGGACCCCACCAAAGTGTGTTGGCTGTTTAATTCTATTGATCTTTATAAATAAAATACCATATTGGACTCTACTGTCAGAAGTGGCCCTGTTATTGTCCTATATTTGGTTCTAATTAAGAACCCCGTGGGGCTAACTGTGGGGAATTTGAAGCGTGTATGACTTGCTTAACCAAACCTACAAAGAAAAAAAAAAATCCACTTTAATAATGTCATATGAGCTTAAAATTCCCTGACCAGTTAAAATCCTAAATCCAGAAAAAAAATTCCATAGTCTATGTTTATAAAACAAAGTACAATGTTTAGTGTGTACACATTAGTAAAGATGCTGGTTGTGTATTTTTATAAGTAACTCGCTTCCATGGCATGTTATTATTTTACATATTCTTCCATGGAATGCTTATTATGCAAGTTTTTTTATGCTAAACAACCTCTACTATAAATGTAAACAATAAAGATATGTATATGCTTATAGTAATAACAAACAATGTAATCCTACCATAAATCTGCAGAATCACTACAGCTAAGGCACGCCTACATCTCATTTACAATACAAATCCCTTTACTGCAAGTTTTGTAAAGGTGCCCACTGTGCCATAGATCTAAATACTTTCAAGATGAATTATGAGCAGAATGACACAGCATGCACGGCACAATACCACAGAAACTCAGCAATCAACTGCTGTAAAGGCAATAAGACCAAACATTTTGTGTAGGCAGACATAAGAAGACAACCTTTTAGTAAAGTTTTGTAATTAATAATAAGTACTTATACCTGCTTTTACATAATTGTCAATCTGTCATTATATTAGACTTTTGCTATACACAGAAGTATTCAGACTGGGAGAGGAAGGTGCTGCCGATTAAGGTCTCATGCACGCGGCAATCAAAGCTGTGGTTATAACTAGAGGTGCACCGAAATGGAAATGTCAAAACCGAAGCGAAACCGAAATTTAAGAAAAAACATCAGGCCAAAACCGAAACCAAAAATGTTTTTTTTATTTTAATTTTTTCTTTTTTTTCTATTTTATTTATTTTTTATAAACGTTTTAATTTTTTTATATTTATTTAATAATTTATTAAATATTTTTATTTTTTACTTTACTTTCAGGGGCTTTGGGGAATCATTGGGGGTCTAAACAGACCCCTGATATTTCCCTTTTAAAATAGAAAAAAATGATTGAGGACACAAAGTCCTCAATCTTTTTTTCTGCAGCCCCTGTTATAAATGAACAGGAATCCTCTATACTGCATGTTCCTGCCCATTCATAACATGAGGACAGAGTATGTTTACTATAACCACAATCAAGAATGAACAGGAGGTGTTGTAGATCACTTCCCATTCATTCATAATTGAGGATATAGTAAACATGCTATGTCCTCAATTTTTTACAAACACTCAGCGATCACCGATCACTGAGTGTTTGTACATGCTCTCCTTCCTGACAGCTGCCACAGGAGGCTGAGCAAGCGGTGCAGGGAGGAGAGCTCAGCCTCCTGTGACAGCGCGGGCTGTCTCCGCCCACACTGCTCTCCCGATCTGTGATAGGAGGCTGCTCGTTGTGGGAGGAGAGACGCTGGCTGCTCACAGCGCTCTCCTCCCACAGCGCTCATATATCGGTGCATCCCTAGTTCTAACCTAAGGATTATTGTGCCAGAAATACTAGGGGGTCAGTAAAGGTGCAGCAGCTGTGCCCGCTCAAGTGAATGAGAGGCTGACAGTGGCCACATCTGACTGCATGTAACCATGAATGGAACAACTACCTACCTTGGGAGAGATGCTTGTCCCTGGACGCAATCTCTCTGTGTCCAGGCACAAGCAGCTCCGCCAATGGGCACAGTGGCCGCATCTATACAGACCCACTTGGGATTCCTTGCATGGTTCTTGCTGCAGGAATCCCTAACTGCAGCTTTGATCACCATGTGCATGAGGCCTACAGCTGGCCCTACAATTTTCAGGCAATTTCAACCACTTGTGAGCCATCAGGTATTGCAAGTACAATTGCAAGTAAACTACGCAATCTACCACACAAAAGTTAAAAAGAGAACGAAAGCCAAATCTTTTTTTGGCTTCAGTCCACTTTTGGGTCAAAGGAGTACATTTATTAACATACTCATTTGACACAAAGACAGCATCTAGCCAGCTACTGCCTGCTACTTGCTAACAGTGCAAAGCTGCGCAGCAGGAGGGAAAGATCCCAACAATATTGTTGGGATCCAACCCGCTGCCTGATTGACAGCTGGCTCTGTGTCTCTGGAGCCAGAACCAGCTGTGCAGCACCCTCCCCTGTCTGTCCCTCCAATGAGTGCTGGAGGAACAGAGAGAGGATGGGGGAATACCTGTGGGGGGTGGTGACTGACAATCACCACTCTCTGCAGGAAGAAGACCCGGAGCTGAGCGATCAGCAATTCGATCATAATACGATTGGATTTCAAACGATTTGATTTTTATCTATATATTAACATCCTATCTTCCTGCAGTCAATGGAAACAAACATTTTATGTCTCTGATTGCTTTGTGATTTCAACAGAAAATTAAATTGAAAGTTCGATTGTTCTGTTAAATTGCCATTGTTTATGGCCAGCTAAAACCAAGCAGGCTTTATTGCATAGTGCAAAGCTGTCAACGTAACAATTATCAAGCTTTGGTTGTCGTGGAGAAAAGTGAGGTCAGGACATAGCTATACTGTCTAGCAAGAGTGTCTGGATTAGAAAAGTGGCTGTATAGATTTACTAGTTTTTGGCAGGAGCACAGTTCATGCATATTTATTACAACTGTAAATGTAGCTGTTTACTACACCCTCACTATCAGGCCCCATTCACACCTGACCGTTTTGTAGCGCGTCCTACGCTCGATGAACGCTCTACAAAACGGTCAAAAAAATAAATAGCATTGTAAAGACTTAGGTCTAAAAGGACATAATGTTCATCCATATTGGCGGCAAGCACATTTAAAACAGAATTGAGCTACCTTTAACATTCCCACTGGTAAAAAAGTATAATTCCTATCATGCCAACCAATGACAGCCGTATGCAGGGCCCCATAGTTTGCCTACACCAAAAAGCTTCAAAAGCTTCTATCTGATTTAAAGTGTATGTAATCCCTAACAATAAACGTCTCTTATTTGCTCCCCTTTTGATCAGTTAAAAATGCCATTAAAATTGTTTTGATATTAAGAGGGCAGCCAACACTTATAAACCAGATTACATACACATTAAATCTTAGATGGGTGATCCTTAAAGGAGAACTATGGGGTAAGTGTTTTTCCCCATAGTTCTCCTAAGGGTTACGGTAGGACACAAACTAGCGTCCTCCCGTGAGCCAAAGCTCAGTATACCGCGAGCTACAGCTCGCGGTATACTGAGACCGCCGCAGTCGGGTTGGATCCCGACATTACTGTCGAGATCCACCCAGCTGTGTGATTTACAGCTGGCTCTGCCTAACTAGAGGCAGAGCCAGCTGTACCCGCCCCTCCCCCGTCCGTTCCTCCAGTCTGTGCTGAAGGATCGGAGAGGGGGAATCCCTGCAGGGAGCCGTGAGTAACAGTCATGGCTCTCTGCAGGGACAGGATCGAGAAGTGAGCGCGCGACGGTATGTGTTCGCTCACTTCCCAATCTATTGAGCCGACCTGTGAAAGTTTCATTGTCACAGGTTGGCTAGAACTGTGATGCTGAGTGATTTTCACTCACCTCATAGTTCTCCTTTAACTAACAGACCTCCTTATGTGGCTGCTGCCGAAACAACCTGCAGCAATTTAATGCCCTTACTCACTCTTATTCACTACCCTTATGGGACACTGCATGTCAAGCATTTGCTCTCCTTCCCCCACATACCCCACTGGCTCCACTATTCAACAACCCAGCATTCCCATCAGGGTTGTAACCCCAACAGTTCAAATAGTGGATGTAAAGGTTTATACCACACACTACCTAGATTGCAGGAGTATAAAACTATTCCTGGACAAAAAACCTCTGAACAGATTGGCTGTGATCTCTGTATTTATTCCTAATTTCCCAATTCTGACTGGATTGTACCTAAAAATGCATCGCAAATAAGATGGGAAGATTGTTTTAACATCCATCAAATTTGTGACATCAACATGTTTGCAATAGTCTATATTATTATTTTACAATGATCATCAAACATTATTACTCACATTTCTTTCTAATATCTCCTGTGCAGGTTTCTGTCCATGACACTGTAGATACTTCTGGTGAAACAGATTGCCATCAAATGTGTTCCATGGCATCAGGTCCATCATTGTAAAAGGATAGCCACAGGCACAATTTGCTCCCATTAATGTAATCAGTCCACGAAGAAAGAGAAAAGCAAGATGAACTGCTATGGAATCCACGTAAGGATGCTGTGGAAAAACACATTTTTATAAATGATACTGATGAAAATCATATACTCTGTTTAAATTGAATACAAAAGACAACAAACCATTCTGTAAACGAACCATTTTTGTATTAGGATATTAAGCACAACTCAAGGCTAGTAAGTAAGATTTCAAAGAAGGCGGAAATTCCACAAATAAATCGAAATGCCGTTTTTTTTGTAGTGAACAATTCTCTGTTGCAGTTTTTGCATTTTAAAAATGTTGGCCAGCTGAAGAAATCTTTATGGATATTATAAATCAAAGGCATATGATGTGCAGGCATTGTGTCCACATATCTGGCATTCCCTATCATACTGGACTGGCCAGAACAAAGTTACTTAGCGGTCCACCTCAGAGAATGTCAGTTTGCATCCATCAAGTCCTAGAGATCCACATTCTGATAACACCAGAAGTGGTAGAGTTGCCATTTTTCATTGGTTTCACTGAGTTGGCTCAGAGATTCATCAGTGGCCATGTGCAGCAGATGAAAATTCAGGTTGCATAACACTGCAGCCAAAAAGTACACTGCCTGGTCAAAATAAAAAGTCACACACTCTAATATTTCATCGGGCTGCCTTTAGCTTTGATTATGGCACGCATTTTCCATCACATTGTTTCAATAAGCTTATGCATAGTCACAACATTTATCTCTGTCTAGAGCTGCGTTATTTTTTCACCAAGTTCTTGTGATAATGGGATAGTCGGACCACTGCGTAAGGTCTTCTCCAGCACATCCCAAAGATTCTCAATGGGGTTAAGGTCTGGACACGGGTGGGCTATCCATGTGTAAAAACGATGTCTCATGTTCCCTGAATCACTCTTTCACAATTTGAGCCCGATGAATCCTGGCATTGTCATCTTGGAATACGCCTGTGCTATCAGGGAAGAAAAAATCAATTGATGAAAAAATCTTGCCATTCAGTATATTCAGGTAGGAGGCTCATTTTTTACCATATCATTGCTGAACCTAGACCTGACCAACTGAAACAACTCCAGATTATACCACTTATCCAATGGAAGGTTCTAACCTATTTGCTTAGCTATATCTAGTTGGTGACTTTTTTTGGCCAGGCAGTGTATATTTACATAGTTTGAATTTGCTCAGGTTATAGTGTGAGGTTTCCTACTATTCGTTAAAGAGAATGATAACTCGCAAGCTAGGAAGAACGGTCAAACACAGGAATCTGTCATTTAGATTTAATCCACAGAATATCAAGTTTGCAATAGAAAAAGCAATCTTATACCACTTATGTACTTCTGGTAGGATGGCCATGACGTTACATGATTGTTGGTAATGAGTAGTTGGTGTATAACACCATCTTTAAACAAGAGGCCTGATGCATTGGTCCTAGCATATTATAGTTTAAAGAATGACTAAAGACTGAAACCACTATATAGTTTTCTAAATCAACATATGCTTTTTCCTGACTTCATTAACTCTTCAAAACTATCACAGGTGTTTTCAATCTATACTGATACACAAAGACAATATAACAACTGCCAACATATATTACTTCACCTAAATACCTAACCACACCTTGCAGAGAGATCCCTTTGATTTTACTCCTCTGGAATTTTATACATTGTTTACTTTCTAGTAGTCAGTATGTTTCCGTCACCTGTGTAATTCCACGTTGGTGGCACAACTTCAGCAGGACAAAGGTTGTATTTACTGCCGGTGCCATTCTTATATCGCTATATGTGACTTATTTTAAGCAAAGCTATAGCCAAACCTGCAAAGAGAGGTTTAAGGGCTAACCTTTTACCCAAATGGGCCCATAGAGACAAGGGGCCGAGAGACAAATAGTTGAAAATGCACTGTGGCACTTGTAAAAAATATTGTTTCATGCAAACGCCATACTTGTAGGCCTTTTCTGTCACTCAAGTAGCGTGGCTGAGATACTCCCACTATTTACATTTCTACCTCCTAGCCTACTTCGAAGGCATGGCAGATGTTAGGTGCTCATCCTCAGCATCATAGGAGCAAGCTCGCTTCTTGGCTTAAAATCTACGCTTGCACTGTGCTTCCCCTATCCCAGAAATGTTGAGCTCAACCGCTTCTGGAATAGCAGGAAAGAGTGCATACTGAACATGCGTGGCTTTTGAATCAGGAAGCCCACTTATTCCTGTGATGCTGGGGAGAGTGCTCAACGTCTGCTAGGACCTGGAAATAAGTCAGGACGTAAGAATGTAAACATTAGGAGTATTTCAGCCAGGCTTCGTGGGTGGCAGAAAAGGCCTACAGGTATGGTATTTGCAATAAACACTCTTTATATATAGATATATTTACAAATGGCACAGTGCATTTTAAACTACTAGGACCTCTTGTCTGAATAGGGCAGTTTATGTAAAAGGTGAACTTAGCCTTTCATTTATTAAATGTTCAAATTGAATAGAATATATTGGGGCCTAATTTACATTTTACCAGCATATGGCAAGGTTAGATTTGTAGAAGAGTGCTAGTTTCTGCAGGTTTAGCTGTTTACCGACATTCTTTTCTCTAGTTCTCATGAATCACCCTCAGTGCATATCTAGTCATGCACACTCTCTTTAAACTAGAATGTATGTATGTGTACAAAGCAGACATCTCCTGTACTGCTGCAATCTCTGGGGTCCAATAATCTATTAGAAAAATTACCCAACCCTGCGATACATTTTTCCTCTGGACTTTGGCGTAATTACGTTATCCACAGATATCCTGAAATGGATATCAAAGTGTACCCATTGGTACAATTATGTGATCTATGGTATACAATTTTCTAATGGATTGAAGTGGGAGATTAATCATATTTGCTTGTGAAGGCTGCTCACTAGAGTCTAATCTCAGTCTAATGAAAAGTCTTTAAGTACATGCATGTGTGTGAAGGTCCTCAATTATCCAGGTCATGGTATAACTAGAAGTAGGTAGTCACATTCAACTGGACTTGTTATCTAATGTGAAGATGTTTTATAGCTTATCTAAGGTTGGGTTCACACCTAGGCGTATTGAATATGTGCGTTTGTCGCGCGTTTTTACAGCGATTCGCGGTAAAAATAAATCGCGCGACAAACGCGCGTTTCAGAGGGCTACCTGGCTGTATCCCAATGGATAAGTGCGGCAAATACGCCCCAAAGAAGCTCCTGTACTTCTTTGGGCGTAGGGTGTTTTGCAGCGCGTTCCTACGCGCTGTAAAACGCCCAGGTGGGAACCATGCCCATAGGCAATCATTGGTTTTCACATGTTGAACGTTTTACAGAGCGTAGGAACGCGCTGTAGAACGCCCAGGTGTGAACCAGGCCTAAGCCTCTTCTTCACTTCTGATGATAGGCATTTTCCTGGCACTCAGAACTAGTATCCAAACTGAAGAAGTGATAAGCTAAGAAACATCTTCAACATTACAGAATATGTCCAGTTAAATCTGACTAACTACGACTAGCTATACCTGCCTGCAAAATTTAAAAGACATTTTTAACACATCTAAAGCTATGTTTTAATACAAAAGGGAATGCTTAAAACCCTTATCAGTGTTTTGTCATATTTGTCCAATTGGGGAGAAATACCTTCACTTCCTGCCATATAGAGACACAATAGGAAATGAGAAAATCTCTCCAATGTAAGGGAAGTCACCTGTTAGTGGTCACTAGAATTATTGTCCCCACTGGAAGATTGGCCATCTATTCTCCTTACAATAACAATAATGTTGTATATTCTCTCACTTTAAGTCCTGGCGCCAACAGAGAGTGTAACATAGAGGGTGAAGCTCTCTAGTGCAGACAGCAATAAAAAACTTGACAGACATTTCCAGCTCTAACATCCCACTTAATCCGAAACAAACAAAAAAAAAAAAAGAAAAGTTTGGACTTTAGGGTCCATTTGCTCCACCTGCGTTGGAGCTGCGCTGGCCCGTTGTTTACAGCGCAGCCCCAACGCAAGACAAGGCAATTTGCCTTTTCACGGATTGTGCCCATTCACACCACTGTGTTGTGGTAGGACAACCGCCTCGAACCCTGCTGTGCCCTGAATGACAAGTCACTAATGACATTTCAATAAAGCTCTAACAATAACAAAAAAAAACTTCATGAACTGGGATCTGCACTTTGGCACTGTGTTGGCACACTGCAAACCAGACGCTGTGCGATTAGTGCAGTGTCTAGTGTGAATGAGCCCTAAGACCTGCTTTAATGAAATATCACATAAGATCAGCTACTGTATTCCACAGAGTTGCTTGCAAGTTCATTTTAATACGCAGTTAGGCCAAGGGCAATTACTTTCTTTTGCAAACAATGAAAGTACAAAGAATACAATTGAACTTAATAGTAAACATGAGAATAAAATATTATGCACCCAATTAATCTTACCTAATTTTTGTTAATGAGTCAACTATTTGTGTAGACTGTGTGACATAGGTCACATAGGTTAACCTTTACCATATAACATTTCGTTTGTTGACTGGGAGCAGTAATTATTGATAACTAAAAGATCTGTTCAGCAAAAAATAAAAAATATGCGATAATAGAGAAGCTTGAGTCTGGTTTTTAAAACTGCACACATCATACATAGTACAAATGTCAGCTTAAGCATATAGATATACACTGAGTGGCCAGATTATTATGACCACCTGACATTTGTAGGCAAATTAGCTATAATTTTGCGCTGAAGTTGCTAGAGAGCCAGACCAATATAAATAGGGAAGCAGGTTGTTTAGAAGTGATTTTTTTCTGAAGATATGGGTAAACAACGCGATTTAACAGCCTTTGAACGTGGGATGATTGTTGGTGCTCGGAGCCATGGAGCGAGTATCAGCAAAACAGCAGAATTCGTTAAATGTTCAAGAGCATCTGTTGTTAAAGTGTTTAAAGACTGGACTGTCAGCCGAAAATCTGGGTCTGAACGTGCGAATTGTGGCCGTCAGCGACTAGTCAATGTTAGGGCAGAACGGAGAGTGGCAAGACTGGTACAAGACAACAGAAGGGCAACAGTGCATCAAATTACTGCAGATCTTAAT